CACAACGGCATGAAAGCGCACACATGAGAGGCACACATCAAGGAACACACGCGTGAACCCAGATTTGAATATAAAGCATCATATAGGACACATGCCAGCACACACATGACATATGACATCGCAGATATTATGCGGGCACACACCAAACGAAGGACGCGTTCGAGTGCACATATATGAGAGCGTCCACATGAGAGCACACATATCTGACCGCAAACCTGAGAGCATACACATGTGAGAGCACACGCCAGTAGCCCAGTATCCGAGCACCTGCGAGCATACATTTGGGAGCACGCGCGTGAGAGCGTCCACCGTCCACACGTGAGAGCACACACTAGCAAGCGCGCACGCGCGAGCGCGCGCACTTAGAAAAAAGAGCGCGCGCGACAAATCCCTGGCAGCCTGGAAGACAAAAAACGACGGAGCTTGAAGACAACATCGCAAACATGTACGCGCGGCGGCAAGAATATTGTGAGATTGCTTGAGCAAACAAGGAGGGGAATGAGAAGGAGGCTCCAAGAGATCGCGAAACTTCAAGGTTGTTGCGATCAAGCAAATACAGAGGTCTCGCTCGCGAACGGGCAAAGAAGGTGAAATGCGGAACGAGTCAAGAGTGTCACTTGCCTAAACAACGTAGCAGTGGACTACGTCTGAGGAATGTGTGAAGGAAGTGTCTACGTCAAGAACGCATTCCCCGGAGCAGCACTGTTCTTGTACGACGCCGTCAAAGGTGATAGCTCCAAAAGGACTCTACGACCTGCGCGCGGTATAGACCCAGATGCCAAAGAAGAGGATTGACGCGCAGCCCTGGCTCGACAGGTGCCACGATAGAGGGAAAAGGGAACGACAGCGCGATCGAGGAAGGAATGCCATGTAGCGGCGCCTTGGCATAGTTGATGAGGTTTCCGAAGATGGAACATCTCCCGACCCAAGTTCGGGGGCGCTGGTGCGAAAACAAATCATCAATGAAAGTAATCAGTGAGCTGGAGATAGACGACGGCAAATGACCAATATCAAACGACATGAGCGGCTCCACCTCATCCAGAAAAGATGGCCATGGCTCGTTTTGAGCCATTTGGTGGAAAGGGCATGGCCCATGCTACCGCAAAGAACTCACCCTGCTGGCCCACCTGTTCACCCTCAATGTGCCACTTCAGGAAACCAAGGAGAAAGTCCAAGCTGCCAACACTTGCCAGCCTGAAGCTTTGACCTCAATCATTGTGTGAAAATATTTTCACGTGGGCCCATTTCGGATGTCCTACACAAATTCAGTGGCCAGGGCGCAAACAAAGGCTTCACAAATGCAATTCGTTCGTTTGCACTATCCGCCATGGATGTGGCCTATTTGGCTGATTTGGGCAATCAAAACCATGAGCTAGTCACTGGAAATTGCAACCACCATTTATGGCAGGAAATTCACCATCTGTTTTGGAAGCAATGCGCTACACCAACTTCAACGTCAATGGCAAATTTTTTTCCATTGAGAAGGGTGCATCACGTGGCGCACCATGTTGAAGGCAAACAGACACCAGTACAACATACAAAGGATTTTTTCCAAAGCCGACATGGACAAGCTGAAGACTGCCAATACCTTGCCCAAGGTCATCAGAGCAGAACAGCACCTCCAAGGTGCTTGCCAGACTTAGCCAAGACCGCTGGAGAGGAACAGCTCCACAGCTATAAGTGCGTTGGAAGAATGTGCACCAGATCCTTCTTTAGGTTGGCAAACAAAAGCACAGGAGGGAATCCAAGATGTATGAGGATTTTTGCCAAATCTTCGACGAATTTGCCCAAACTCCCAGGTTCGAAGCCAAGGAAGCACAAAAGCCCGACCCCCCAAGATGCAAAATCATCTCCAACGCCAATCCCAGAACCAGGAAAACCATGAAGGACAAGGCCATGAAGGCTATGAGTGGCAGTCCAAAGGGCCTTTGATGGTTCTTCCATACTGCCATGGAAAATGTTGCCAACGCATTCGCATACCATGTTCCAGCCACGATGGCACTTCTTCATCAACTGCTTACACTGTTAGCCAAGTTTTGGCACTACACCGAGGTGTTCCATTTTGAGCCGCTTTCATTTTCTGAGTCACCATTGAGCACTTCATCCAAAAGCTTGCGTTGCCTTGGTGGCATTGAGTCATTTTAGGGCTTCCATTCACAGATTGTATACCATTTTCTTTCTCAGCCACTACAACTGCCAACAAAACCATAAGGGCCCCACGTCACGCAGCTCCAGATATTTTTGGTGAACGCTGGTAGCCATAGTTTTCTGCGCAACCCCAAAAATGGGGTGAGCTTCAATGGCCACAGTTTTCTGTCAAACCATTGCTGCTCCATTTTTTGATGAGCTTTAGTGGCCAACCTTTTCTGTGAAACCTTTGCTGCTCCATCAGAACCAAGCAGTTCACTTTTAAGATCCTATAGTTAAGTTCAATATTATGAACTTAAATCTTGAATTTCTAAACTTACGTTCAGAATTCTGATTTAACCCTTAACTTTCCAAAGTTAAGAGGTCAGAGTTCGGAATTTAACCCTTGAATTCCAACAGTTAAGTTCAGAATTCTGAACTTAACGTCTTAATTTTTGAAAAACAAATTCAGAATTATGAACTTAACGTTGCAAACAACATGTACTCTGAATATTTTCATATACATTTACTTCGGCAAGTTTTACTGAAATACAACCTTGCCACAGCGATTACAACTATATACAAAATGTTCATACTCATTGATACCAACCAGTTTCACCACTATACAAGCTTCCATTCCTTGCCACGGCCATGGCAACCATTAAAAAGGATTTGGCCAATATTTATGACCATGGAGGACCTGGTGGAAGTCCATCACTCCAGAGCCAGAGACTGTGAGGCCATGAGAATGGGCCATGAGGATGATATGTCAAGAGCCCCAGTGCCAGCACCAGGAAAAGCAACAAAACCTTTCCAACCACAAAGTGTTGAAGGCTCAACAAGCAAAGCAGCCAGCCCAGCCGCCAGTTCAGAGCCTAGGCTTGCTTTCTTTGCAGCAGCTCGTAAAGTTTGAAGAGGCGCTTGTGAGATCTCTGTGTTTCGCGGCACCCTGCTGGCAGGGGCGAACAACTTGGGTCGCCCGCCCTAGTCGTCGACAGGAGCCACACAATAACCTAAATGGTGGGTCATGGGCAGAAGCCTGGTCCTTCAAAGGACCTGCAAATCCTTCATAGGCTCCAAATGGAACTGCTGGTCCATCAGACTGAGATGGCCACGCGAAGGAAGCAAAAACTTGCAACCAGTCCGCAGACGTGTGGAAAGATTGGAAATGGACGTGGAGATGGAACTGCAGAAGCTGCCAGTGGAACTGCAGGTGGCAGCTGCCTCCAGCGCCGGAAGCCTGCAGCTTCAGCGCCTAAACTATTGGCAAAGCCTAGGTGCGATGCCCTTTGTCTCCTCTCAAGGAACCTGACAGCTCACCAAAAGGAAAGGTTTGAATGACAGCGAAACACCAAATTGACCCTTTAGATTGCTCCTTTCAAGGAACCAAAAAGTTTGCCGTCAAAGTGAGACGTCGTCATCTGCGCAATATATCCATTGCGTTCTCCTTGTACTTCGTCTCCATCATCTCCATTGTCAAGGTGGCCCCCCATTCATTCTCCTCTTCCTCTTCCTCTTCCTCTTCCTCTTCCTCTTCCTCTTCCTCTTCCTCTTCCTCTTC